TTGTGTCCTCATGATTCCTGTCCTTTCTTTCCATGATATTTAGAGTTTTTTCAGTGTCATCTCTTGGTTCATGTGAAAGAACTGTGTTAGTGTTTGCATGTGATCTAGCTTTCATGGTTTATGTGACCTTGGATCAAAGCTATTCTCGTGGGTTTCAGAGTAGTAATGCTTCAAGTCCAGAAGGGAATTTGAAGGCAAACAAATTGCTAAGAACTATATCTAGAACGGATGTTCTTCTCTAACAAAGATGTATGCAGCCTTTAACAGCAAAATGTCAAGTTCTGCTCATACCAATGTGGGTGAGATTTTTGCAATAACTTTCCCTGGAATTTGGAGTTCATCTTGTGACCTGTGATGTTCTGAATGCTGGTTTTAGTCATCTGAGTGATACAGTCTTCAGAAACACATCCTCTTGAGAAGTATATCATTCTGTGAGGGCTGTGGAGAGGCATCAGAGTTTACTTGTTAATTTGCAGAATATGTCAAGAAAACTACAAGTACTTCCTTTCTCCCAAACCAATCTTACACTTTGTTTTTTTTTTGAAGTTGTAGCAGGAAGAATTCATCCAAATGTTTAAAAATAAATGAGCAGTTGGTTTTACTATTAGCAGTATTGTGTGTAATGTCAGTTGTTTCACGTGTATTAATCTGTATTTGTGGCTGTTTCAACTGCAAAAAGCTACATCTAAAAATAAAAGACAGTATTTAAAGGAATGCCCCTGTTGACTGCGAATAAAGTGGCTAAAACAGGAGCAGGTCTTAATATTAGTATTGCTGATTGTGTCTGTGGAAGACTGGAAAGAAATGTACTGTCTATTTAAGGCTCTGTGCTGAGAGGTTTTTGAAGAAATCCAATCTGCTTCTTTGAATGCGATCGCTTCCAGCTTTTTGGAACAGATACAGTGTAGAGGCTAGTGATGTGACACAAAGGAGGAGGTTCAGATTCGATTTTAGTTTGTGATGTTAGTTGTTCAACACAAATACATAGCTGGATTCCATAGATACCACTGCAAACAGTGCTGTGATCAGCAATAGTTTCTTTCAAGCTGTTTGTTTTTTTAGAGTAAAGTAATAAGTTGCTAAGAGAACGAAAATGGAACAGAAGTCTTCTCTCTAATGAGAATCTCTCCAAGAAATTGAGCTTATAGTTATTTTCAGTAATTAGGAAATATCATGTTTTTACATTTTTGGCAAGGCATGGTCAATTTAAGAGACCAGGACTGTATTTGTCTGTGAAATGCAGGTTTTGTATATTTTTCTGCAGCGTCCTTTTTAAAAAATTATTTTTTCAATCAGTTGTGTTCTCTAAGTTGGAACATTTTCTCATGAATTCAGTTATGCTGTGTTATTGACGTGGACCCTGTGTTTAAAGGAAATAAGGTCTTATATTTTTCATTAAATCAAAAAAAAAATACAATTTTTAGAAGCAGGATTTTAAAAGTAAACCTATCTACTAAAAGGAAGAACGAATCTCTTGAATTAGGACCTCCCAACATGCCTATTTGGGTGGCCCTGGCTGATTATGGCCTGTGAAAATGCATGGTCATACATCTGAATATTTTTGGTTACTCTTAAAAGATTTGCCTAATTATGAAATGTAAACGGTATAGCTGTGTTTATTCATAAGTTATGAATACATACATATTTCAAGTTCTCTTATTGGTATGCTCTGTGAAAAACTGCTTAGGCAAAATCACCAAGTACCCCATCGGTGTCAGGAATAGCTGGGCCAAGGGTGCAGGGACAATTTAAAGATGTGCCAATAATTATATTAAGAATTTTTGGAAGGATCTGAAAGGAATGGTTTTTAAGGTCCTTTGTATGATCAATTCTGAAATCAATGGTATTAGTAACAATAACTCTAAGTTTGTAAAATAACAATTTGGATAAACGGAGCTTGATTGTTTAGCAAGAGAAAAAGAATTACTTGCATTCTTTTACATCTTGCTAGCAAGCTTTTACTTCAAGTGCCGCTTCTCTGCTGCATTTTTACATGAGTCCTACATAGCCCCATTGATAAGAAACTTATATTCCTGCTGATGAATAGTATTTATCAAAGATTTCCTTCCTAGATTAAAATGATGAACTTCAGTATTTCTTTATTGATTTATTTACAAATGTATGGTTTTTGAGTCATTGAAACTAGGCATGTTACAGGAAAAGGGGGCAGAGTTCTATGTTTCTTTAGTTAAAACTTCTTACTTTCAGTAGATTTGCTATACCTTTCAGAGAATAAAGCAAAAGCAAAATGAAACTCAAAGGAAATACGTTTATCTGCATTACATGAAGAGAAAACTTAATTACTTGTTAAAATGGCTGGGAGTTTTTTTTATTATTATTTTTTTTTATTTTAAAATACGCGATTTCCATGTTTTTTAATGGATTCTCTTAAAATACTGTTCTATGTCACATAATTGACCTGACTTTACAGGTGGAACTTTGAAAATTGCTGACAATGCTGTGGGATAATGTCGAAGACTATATACTGGTAGTGTCAAGTTTGCATGCCACTGAACTCATTTGGTGTTCCTTATCTCCTGTGCAATTTAGAAAAAGCCAGGGAATGGCAACATGTTTCCTAGGCCATTTCTTTGCTGAAAAACATTACAGAGAGTGAAAAGTGTTTCTAGACAATGTTCTGAAGAATGTGTTTTTCGAGGCACAAAACTGACTTTCTTCATCCTGGTATACTCTTGCTATGTCTTACTGCAGTGCACAGTTGCTAAACTGGTAAATCTGTGAAAAACAATTTGTGGGATAGGAATTTTCGAATTGCCTCATATTGTCTGAATGAATTTTTGAAATGAGCAGTACTGTAGCTATGGGAAGTCTGAACCTGTTTAATAAATACCCTTTGTGTGCAGTAATTAAATGATCCTGCTTTCAATTTACCATTCTGTTATTGCAAATGCCAAGGTCATTTCAGTGCCCATTTGAACCCTGCTGGATTTTGTGCAAGAAGTGATAGGTTGTGCTTCACAGAGAGATGAACAGAGATACTCCATTAAATTCCTGATAAGTGAGTGTTGGTAGGTGTCTTACTTTAAGAGTAAAGCTTCCTGGTACTGACTTTGGATGACAAAAAAGCAAGGGGATAGCTTCTTTACAAGATGGGGTAGAAGGAAATGTTGGCCTACGTTAGACAAGGAAGCTTTTACTTGCATAAATGAAAGGTGGGGCAGAAGAGGTGAGAAAAAAATAAAAATATTGCTGCTTTTATGTCATTGATGTGTCAGTAAGTTACTCTCTGAGCATTTTCATACTTTAATTCTATCAGATTCTAATAGAATTAGAATCAGAACAACCAAATCCAGAAAATAAATAAATACCCTCAGTCTATTATTTTAAACATGCAGTACCCTGAATTTGCAATACAAAACAATTTATTTAAAATGTAGAATTTATAGAAACCATTTATTTTATTTTGAAATGAATCACAGAATTAGATGCAGACTGTTTTTATTGGTGTGATTTCTTAGTTTAAATGTACCATAGGATTAACTAGTTTCCATTATCTTTTCAGTTACTGAATGAGTAGAATTATGAACTGATATGATATTCACAAAAATGTACTGCATCACTGAATGTATAGAGCTTGCCAAGTTTTAGAGTTAGTTGATGTATTAATTCTATTTAACTGCTTAGTGATGATAAGCACAGACAGTTAGTTTGGAGGAATTTGTTTGAGCAATAGACTAACTTTTTAATACCATTTGGAGTGTATGTTTCTGTTTTTCAGCAAATTTATAAAGCACTTTTGGAGACTGTTAAGTATTCATAGTTACCTTAATTTTCTGCTGAGGGAACACTCAATTACTCACTTTGTGTACAATGTGTCCCATTGTCATTCATGAGTTCAGGCGCACAGACTTTTAGAAAACATTACCTATCATAATAGAAACATTACCACTATTAATTTTAGGGAGCAGAGAGAAAACTTTTTGGCTAGTTCCAAATGTTCAGTTTGTGTCATGTTCTGCAGACAAAACACCTGAGTTATGGACAAAGTTGCTTCATCAGTGGTAATTTCTGAGAAAGAGCTGACAGATTATATCTTAAGTAGAGATGAACTGGCTGATATAGGAAGTCACATGCAATGGAGTTTCCGTCAGCTAAATTTGAATTAGCTGCATTAATGAAATCTTAAAATGTGTTAGTGGATCATAGCGTCACATCTGTCTAAGGTATTTCTAAACTTTTAAAAATACGTGAATTAAATATGACAAATATGATTGCCCTGGTGAGCATGCCTGAAGTTCTTTTAGTGACTTAAATTGCTTAAGAAATCCTACTTTTTTTTTTTTTTTTTTTGGTATAGTTTGCTATTATTGTGAACTCAATTCCTTTATTGGATGCTCGTGTAGAAATGTTTTCATTCTAGTTCCAGTGAAAGAATTCAGAAATAGACATATGCATTTGAGAGCAAAATAATTGAATAGGAAAGAAAATGTTTCTTTTCTTTGTTACTGTTCAGTCTCTGCTTTTCTGCAGGATGGGTTGGGGAGGTCTACCAAACCTTGTGTCTGATGAGTGTCTAAATTCTATGCTGAATCAGCTCTGTTGTGTCAACAGTGCTAGAAAAAGAAAGGTTCAGCGAATTCATTAAGTTCAGCAGCACATGGGTGTAAGCAACTCTTTTGTCCCAGTTCATAGATCTCCACCTAGAAACTCTCTCTTTGCTGAGTGGAAATATCCAAGCTTAAAGACTGAGGTCTACCAGATGTAATTAGTGCTTTCAGTCTACTGTTGTGATTTGTAAGAAGGTCCTTTTGTGTCTACCTGCCTGTAAATAAATACCACTGTATTTATTCACATCCGCGTTACATTCTATGAAACAGTATTGTAGATGAACTCTAGGGAGTTTTATTTACTTATGTATCTTACATCTAAACGTGGAAATGATGAAAGCTGAAAGTTCATCCTGCATGGGGCAGAGGAGTGTCCTACTGAAATATTCTGATTTTTATCGAGGTACAATTTATTTTCTTTATGTCTGTTAGGTTTTACTAAGCCTGTCTCTGCTGAGATGCCAGATAAAACACCAGGTGGTACTGAGCCTGTCCCCAGGAGTGAAGGTGAGTAGTTTTCTTTCCTTCAGAAACATTTCATTTTCATGAAATGAAATAATTTTTGAGAAGAATTAAGTCAGAAAAGTATTTCTTCTCCTGAACTTCCCGTAAGAGAGAGTTGAAATGACTTAGTCTGTACATTTTTATCTAAATAGCAGTAAACTTTTTCTTATTTTTTGTATAACCTTTCTCTTTCTCTCTGACTCATCATCCTCAGTAATACTGCAGTACATAGAGATGTATAGGGACAACCAGTGGGCTGCTGGTATTTCACCTTTAGGGGAGATGTTCTGTCACATATGAATAAGGAGCTCCTGTGGGATAAGGTCCAATTTTTAGGTGGGACATTTAAAAACCTAAGCTGATAGTCATGAAATGACTTATACAAAGAGGAACTGTGTATCAGTGACTTCTATTGAAACAGGGAAATCTTGAAACATTCAAGTGTTCAGTCTCTCTGAGAATTAGACATCTTTGAAATTAAACAAGTCCGGACACTGCCTTGAGGATCTTGTTCAATACCTTGTGAGTTCTAAGTATTTGCATCTTAAAAAAGTGTTCTGGGATGTAAAAATTAAGCAAATCTTGCAGAATAGCACAAAGCCTTCAAGGTGGCCACCAAATAAGGAAAAGTTTGGAGTAGAGAGATGCTTATTTACTTGGCTAGATGGTGGCACATGGTTCAAGGATAGAAAATTACTGAACATACAAATATCTGTATATTGGTGTACTGGCTTTGGCTGGGATAGAGTTCATTTTCTTCATAGTAGCTGATATGGTGCTATGTTTTGGATCTGTGGAGGAAACAGTGCTGATAGCACATGGGTGTTTCAGTTGTTGTGAAACAGTGCTTGCGTAGATCCAGGAACATCTCTGCTTCTCACATTGTTCTGCCAGCGAGGAGGCTGGGCTTGCACAAGGTACTGTGAGGGAACAGAATCAGGACAGCTGACCCAAAAAGATCCAAAAGGATATTCCATACAACATGGTATCATGCTGAATGTTAAAACTGGAGGGGGAAATTTTCCAGGGCTGCCATTGCTTTGGGAAAAACTGGGCTTTGATAGACTGGTGGTGAACAATTGCTTTCCTTAACTTTTAATATATTTTTTTTTCTTCTATTTTCTTATTAACTGGAGCACTGCAACAGATTGCCAGAGAGGTTGTGAAGTCTCCTTCTATGGAGGTATTCAAGACCCATCTGGATGCTTATCTGTGTGACCTATTGTAGGGAACCTGTTTTAGCAGGAAGGTTGAACTCTATCTCTTGAGGTCCCTTCCAACCCCTGCAATTCTGTGATTCTGTGTGATTTTATTCTTCTGTGTGAAATTCTGTAACTGTGGGACATTGCATTGCTATGCAAGAGATAGCTACATGAGTTAAAATCCTTGCTCTCTTTCCCATAGAACTTCCTCTGCAGCTGCCCATTATGCTTTACTGGTGTACATTTTCAAGCTTTTTGTGTTGTTTAGTAGCTTTTGATATCTGTTTAGTTAAGCACACAAATAATAAAATGTCCTGCACGTTACTGAGGAAATGTAAAGCAGGAAAGATTTCTGACTCCAAATTCAATTAGAGTTATTAGGGATAACGTGGATAAATTCCTCACTATTTGTGATTCATTTTTAAAAAATGCATCCCAACTTGTCTGTTTTTATGTAATTTATACAAAATTCTTGTGAATTGAAGAAATCTCCCATATTCTGGAAGAGATATAAAAAATGATCATCTGAGTCATTAAGAAACTATGCATATAAGGCTGTGTAACTGTGTATGTTGTATGTGTATGGGAATACTTATATATATGTAGAAATGAATTTGTACATATGCATTACATAGGCACCTATATACACCTAGTCTTATACAGTGGGCCTTCTTGGGTGTGATGAACTTCACCCTTCATATTTTATCTTCAGAAATCAGCTAACTTTTTCCATCATTTTTGTTTCTAGATCCTCCCTAACCTAATATATCAGATTTTTGGTACAAGAATGAGAAACCTAAAAATAGATGAGGTTTTTCCTATGGATGTTTTGAGGTGAAGAGTATGTTGGTTTTCATGACGCTGTATGTTCTATGAACTACTAGCATTAGGGAAAAAAAAAAAAACCAAACTTGAATAAGTAGAGCAGCTTGTAACATTTTTATCTAGATTGAAGTAACACATCTTCAGGTACTTGGTCAACAACAGCAGTAATGGGCCTAAGTAAAAATTCATACAATAAGATATAACTAACTAAGCATACAGAACAGTGTTGACTCTTCGTTTTCAAGTTGCAGTCATTATTGTATTTTGCTGCATTTATTAGCTTACAAAGTTCTTCAAGTGGGCTGTTTTAAAATGTTATTTAACAGAAAATACTGAGTGAAGCAAAACATGGCTTAATATGTATGCTTTGCTTTTAATCACTTATGAAATTAATCTTTTTCTCTTAACAAAATGAAATAATGAGTAATAATGAATTTTCACTTAGGTCACATTTTGCCCCTATTTTGATATTCTCTTCAGGACAAAACATGCTACTGGTGTTTTCTCATGATACGAGTTAGAATTTCTATACTTTGAGAGATTATTCCTTTACATGCTATTAAAGAACATTATGATACTGTTTGTTCAAAAGAATTGCCAAACATTCCTGTAGCTACTCTAGCACTGACGTGTTAGATAAACTTCTGTAGTCTTTGATCACATGCATCTCTTTGTTTACTCAGCGCTTATACAGTTTACTAGTAAACAGGAATGTTTCACTGGTCCAAAGTGTGACTGAGTCAGAAATTAGAAGTGAGTTAATTCTTCAGGGTTGAAACAACACTGCTAATAATGTTCATAAGCATTTATGTGAATTGTATTAATTATTTCCAGACATCTTACTGATGATTTCTTTTTCCAAAGCAATATTTATTCTATGAGTGAGTGGCCTTTAGAAAGGTGTGTTTGTTGTTACAAATGTCTGCTGATTAACATTTCACATTTATAAGGGTCAGGTTGAGTTGACCAAATGTTGGCAAGATAACAGATTATCTGGAAAGTTTTAAAAAGTCAGTGTTGCTTTAACCTAGCAGTGCCCCTCCCTGCCTCTCACCCACTGACCCACTGCTCCATATGCTCTGGTTAAATCATGAAGCACATAGAAGCAGACAATTGAGAAATGAGTTTCCTGTAATTAAGTTTCTGTAACTTAGTCCTTGACTTGAGAGTCCCCAGTGAGTGGGCAGATTATTTGCTTTACTGCTGCCTCTTCTGTCAAACCCTTTTGAGTCAACACTTACATTTATAAATGTCACTGCTTGCTTTGTACTGTAGGTAAAAAACAAAAAACCAAAAAAACCCACAAAAAACAGTACCTGGAGGTTCTGTGGTTGCAAAGATGTAGGGGTGTGTGTTTTTCAAGAAGGTTGTGTAGCTATCAAGAAGTGGTAGACAAATGAATTAAAACAAGAAATTCCTCCACATATAACTGTTCCTTAACTGTTTTCCTACAGCAAAGCTATTATATTCTATTTACAATAGATGTGTTTAGAACAATGTGCTATGTCAATACTAGGAAGTGGATTGAGTGTATTTCTGTTTTAGCTTGCAAAGGAATTAGCATTTGTTCTGCTCATGTTTGCTGAATAGTCACTTTTCAACTTGTGGTTTAGTTAACTTTCTGCAATTAGACTGTGACAGGAGTATCTCACCCCTTGTGCAAATTCCTCCTCTCGCACTTGGAGAGAGGCTCCTGTCATTCGCAGCCCTGCTCATAATGGTGTTTGGAGATGGGCAATCGGTCATCTGCAAAAATTTATAGGAACGTTTGTAGATTTTTAATCTACGTTTTCTTTCAGGGGAATGATAGTAGACTTTTCATCATGAACCATTGATCTTAGGGGATACATTTATTGATTGATATCTTAAGAAAATGCCTCTGATACTAAATGGCCTGTGTAAAAACTGGGTACTTTAACTTGTGGATTTCAGATATATATATTTTTTCTTTTTGTCATGATAGCTTTAAATAGCTGTTCATATCAGAGATAGGATGGGTTGAAAGAAAGCAAATGATGTTTACTTTAGTAGCTGTTTGGAAGGCTCCTGTGCTCTAAGTTTTTTGTGGTGTTAATCAAATGCCTCCCAAGTAGGAGTTTTATGCAAATACTTAGAAGGTAATTCATGGGAAATCTCTGAGGTTTCCCCAGTTGTTTTCTCTGGGTGCTTTTCTATGCCTTAAGAAGCAGAAATTTTTGATGAGAAAGATGTGAGGAAGTTAACCTGCCCCAAACACTTCCTTCCCCATCTCTCTCCCCACCTTCTTTCATGAAGCAAGATCCATTAGTTTACCCAGTTGGACCCTCCCTTACTGTCTTTGTGTTTCGTGTTAGCATCCTGAAGGAAATTCGTGCTACACCTGTGCTTTATAAACAGGCACTGACAAATCCCAGTGGACAACAGGATAACATCACTGCAAAGCTTCCTATAGTAACAGCAATGTTTTTCCTTGTATTGTGTACCTGATGACACTAGTGGGAGCCTACCAGCTGTTACTGTTATTTGTGGTAACATGCATTTAGCTTCATAATCCCTCTGACATATGTTTGCATGCTATTTCAGCTGTAATGCGTGATGTGTTGTGCAGAGAGAACATGCAAGTACAGCCATGTCAGGCTTCAGTGGATCGTACACTCAAATGAAGAAAGTAGCACAATGTATGCCTCTACATTTTGCTAAGAATGATTCTTTCATGGCAGGAGTGACATGGGTAATTCAGGTTAGTGGGTGCTGAGTGTTGCCTCCTGTGCAGAGCTGCAGATGCTTTCACTGGATACATAGCAATGAAATAGTGTATTTATAAAGTTGCTGTTACGCTTTGCTATCACTATGCCACTTTTCAAGAATACAAAATTAACTGAGACAATGAAAAATCTTTTATAGAGATTTTGCTGATCTTAAGTGTGTGTGAAATCACAAATAACACAGATACCAACTTTTTACATGGTCTGATACTGTTGGGACAAGGGAGAATGG